AGAGGCAGCCTGCAGGGAAGGGACCTGGGAGGGAGAAGTGAACTGCTCATGTGGAGGTCAAATGTCCTCAGCTCTTTGGAAATCAAGTCTAATGGCCATCTCTCACATCTTGTTCATCATCTTCTGGGCACCAGGACTGTATCTCCACATTCCTGCATTTGGTCTTCATAGTGGAAGAGACCTGGACAGTGAGAAAGGACCTCCTTAAAGCCCATGCTTAGCCTGGCATGGTGGCACATTCCTGTAATCCCAGGACTGAGGGAGGCTAAGGCAGGAGAATCTCAAGTTTGAGTCCTGTCTAGGCAACTTAGCAAGACTCTGTCTCAAAATGAATTAAAAACATCATGGGATACAGCTCAACGGTAGAATGTCCCTGGGTTTGATTCCCCAGAAAAAAATAAAAAACATATTCTGGGGCTGAACAAGTATTAGTAGAATGCTTTCCTCACACACATAAAGCCCTGGCCTCAACTCCTAGTACTAAATAAATAAATAGGTAAACTGCTGCTCTGGAAGGCCAGGTGCCCATGTCTAAGGCAAAAATCCTTCTCCCTAATCTATCCCCACTTCACACAGAGCCCTACCTGGCCCAGGTAATTCAGAAGCCAGCTTCCATGGACCCTGCCCTGTTCAGGATAGTCTCTGGCCAGCTGGAAAGGACTGCCACTCTTTCTGTTTTATAGGGAGATGTTGGATGATAGCTTAGAAAATAAAGGTCTGCCCCTAGGCAAGGACAGACTGGGTACCTGAGGAAGTAGCAGATGACTCTACCATAATTAGAGTGGGAGTGCAGGACAGGGGATTTAGCTCAGTGGTTCTGCTGCCTGCCTCGAAAGCGCGAAGACCCAAGTTTGATCCCCATTACCCCCCCCAAAAAAAAACTGGTAGAGTAGGAGTGCAGCCAGGGTGGCTGGGAAGCAGCCTCTCTGCTAGGTGGAGCTAGGTCTCAGCAGTCCCTGTATGTGAGATGGTGGGTAAGCAGGGAGCAGTCATGCTCCTCCCCAGCCAATCCAAGAGGACAGTATGGGAGCCCTGGCAGCCCCACTGGTCCTGGTGTGGTTCCTATGAGAAGCCATGGGTAAGCTCAGACACCCTCTGAGATCAAGGAGGCACACAGGGATTCTGGGATCTGTTGGAGGAAGCTGACACAGGAGCCTGGGGAGAGTAGGGGATGAGAAGAGAGACTGGGGTGTGATAGCCACCACTGCTCACTACCCTCCTGCCCCAAGTGCCCAATGCCCAGGTGGGAAGGGCTGGAGGGAGGTGGCCCGGCTAGCCTTCATATAGTCCATCCTGTGCTCTGTGGACCTGGAGGACAGTGGCAAGTTCCTGCCTTCTAAGAGATAGCAGAAGACATGAAAACACCCCAGAGGGCCCAGGGGCACAGCTTAATGGTAGAGCCCTTGGCTATCAAATGTGAAGGTGTAGCTTCTATCCCCAGCACCACCAAATACACACACATCGCTGGATATGCATCTCACCTATCTCACATGTACCTGTTCTGAGGACATCTGACAGGAAGAGAAGGAGGTTTATGAAGTGAACCCATGCGGCATCTCTGCATGGAAGATGCACATCGTTCCCAATGTGTACGGTACCCCCACCCCTGCGAGCCCAGCTGTCTGAGGCCTGCAAGGCACCTCGCAGTCTGACTCCTGTTGCCTTGCCTTTTCCACTCTGTCCCCTCCTGCCCACCTGAGTTGTATTTGGTTCCGGAAGTGCCATGCTCACAAGAGTTTGGATTTGGATTTGGTTCCGGAAGTGCCATGCTCACAAGAGGGGGCTTCACTTTCCCTCTTGCCTCAAAGGCCTTTCCCTCTGTTCTTTGCATGGCTACCCTCTCATCAGTCAAGGCTAAATGTAAATGTCAGCTCCTCACAGAGTCCCTCCATTCCCACTCTCAGAAAAACTACTCCTCCCCATAGGGCAAAGACAGAAGTGAGAAGACACCCTTCTCCTCTTACCCCCAGGGCTGATAGCTTGGAGTTCAATTACACAGACCCCACATGCCCAGCCCACATGCCGCTCATGCTGTGTACACAGAGCACGCAGTCCCACATACACACTCCATACAGATAACACAGTGCACACATTCACCATGTTCACAGCATACAAATCTGTCCCACAGTTGCATACATGCAACCTTATGTGCATCCATACTGTATAAATATACCATGTGTGCATGCACTCATAGCCTTGCTCCCTTGCCAGCCTGCATTCAACCTCGGTGCATGTGCATGCACGCATGCACACACACACACACACACACACAAGCCTGCATTCAACCTCGGTGCATGTGCATGCACGCGTGCACACACACACACACACATATCCTGTCACCTTTCCACTCAGCAGCTGCCCACCCTCCCTCCAGCCATCAAGAAAGGAATGTGCAGTGACCGCACGGCTGCTACGGGTTGGGGTTGGTGCTGCACCCCCACCACCTGGCACAATGCTGCGGATTATTAGTTCCTCGTAATTTAGTGCCCTTGTACAGAGTCGATTTGTGCCTTTCATTCCTAATTGATCTAGTGGCTGTTTAAATGGCAGCAGGCATCTGTTGAGAGTAGGAAGGTTCATAAGGCGCAATAATTCATAACACCGTCTGGAATTTGCCTTTCATGGCCCTCAGCTAAACCACTGCCGGGCTCTGCTTAAATTACAGCCACTGAGGCTTTCTTTGGTATTCCACTCAGGGCCAGGAGAATCTTGCATTAAACTGGGATCAGGCTAGATTAGACCATAATATGCTGCAGTATTAGTGGCTGCAAATGAAGACTTATACTGGAGTTTAACCCCTTCACCTGGTGTTCTCTTTGTCTTCAGCCAGATGGCTAAATTCACCCATTGTTTTCCTGCCAATTTTCTACTGGGGCTCAACAGATCTTTTGCTAATTTGGTGCTGTGGATGAACTACCCTTAAATACTGACACTCTTTCCTGCAGACTTAGGGTGCAGGGGTTTTTGCATCAGCTCCCAAAACGAGGGTCGGGGAGGTAATGTCCAGGGCTGACTCTGCCAAGCCCAACAGCTCATATGATCAGGACTTTATCTCTCTTCAGCCCCCACCACCCTGAGCCTGAGTAGAAAGATGCTTAGAGTGTGGGTGTGACTGTGGATGGGACTAAGCACTGCTTGACTTTGTGCCCAGAATTGTTAGAGTTCCAGAATGGGACAGGCACCTAGGGTTACCCTTCCCATCTACAATCACTGTAAGTTCTAAGTAGTCTGGATATTCAGTTCTTCTCTCAGTGTCTCCAGGGCTGGAAGGGAAAAGTATATTCTATTTTCCTTTTCAGCGCTTCCTGTGTTCTCCAATACAGTAGCCACCAGCCACATGTGGCTATTTAAATTTAAATTAATTAAAATTCAATAAATTAAAATCCAGCGTCTTAACTCCAGTAGTCATATTTCAAGTGTTCATTGGCCTCAGGCGACACATGGTTACTGTGTTGGACAGTACAGACAGCAGCACGTTTCCATCACTGCAGGAAGTTCTGCTGGGCAGCGCTGGTGAGAGCATTCCCTCTGGCAGAGGTCCTGGGGGCCAGGTCCGGCACACAGTCCTCCTCCCCTCCCAGCAAGGAGCATTTTATCAAAAAGAAAGGAGCTCCATTTTGGGGTTTTTCGTTTATTTATCAATTATTATTATTATTATTGTTTTGGTACCGGGAATCAAACTCAGGCCCTTGCACTTGCCAGGCAGGCATGGTGCCACTGAGCTGAATCCCCAGCAGGAGCTCAGTTTTATGGTCTAGGAATCCGAGGAGACAGACCAGAGAAGGATGTGTGGATCTCAGGGGAAAGGAATGGGCCTTTCCAAGATCCAGGATCAACAACCCAGCCAAACACATGCATACGTGCTGCAGAAATAAATATGATAGACACTTGTGCAAGCAAAATAAGTATGCATATGTGTAACACATGTATTCAACAAATATTTATGGAGATCCACTTACCTCTGCTAGATATTCAGTGGTGGGTAAAGTAGGCTTTATTCCTGCTCAGATTCCAAGTGAGGAAGGCAGATGATAAGATAAACAATTCGGGTATTATTGACATAAATTGGGGGCGGGCAGTCAGGGAAGCTTCCAGGAATTGGCCATCTCTGAACTAAGACCCACAGAGCCATTAGGTAAGCACCTTAGCTCATGTACACACATCATAGATACACATACTCCTCAGTCACTGATTCACTCAGTCGTTTACCAAATATTTAGTAAATGCCTGCTGTGAGCATAGGTGGCAAGATCTAGGAATACAGCAAGCATTAACGTGGGGACAGTCTTGGAGGAAAACAGAAATACAAATAACCATCTATTTTATCATAACTCTGCTAAGGGTGTAACAGAAGAAAAATGTAGGGAGATGTTGCACATGTATTTGGGGTGCCTGAGCTAACTGAGTCTCCCAACAGACACTGTACAAGTCTGTGTAGACCAGTATTTAGGGTCATACACATACCCTATGCATACACTTGAAAATACACAAGTGTTTGTTTATACACATCTGCTGCCTTCAGCTGGTTCTGCAAAGTATGAATGTGTGTTTGTGTGTGTGTGTATGGTTGTATGATGTGTATAGGTGAACAGGCATGCTTAAGCAAATGGCTCTATGGGTCTTAGCTTGGATATCACCTATGACTAATGTTCACATGTAGGACTTCTCTGCACAGGTCCCACATTTCTTTCCTGGGCTGACTCTGAGCCAGTAGTGGATGCCTTCTTCTATGAAGGGTCATAACCCATCATCCCTCTCCAAATATCTGTGCAGCTTATTTGATGGAAAATAAAAGATAGGAGCCCTTGGAGGCCCTGGGCACTGGGACATTGGACTCTGTGCCAGATCCGAAAGTGCTGCCATCTAGGCTGCCCTTGGCACTAAGGGGCACCCTCAAGGAGTGGGAATTTGGGAGAAGTGATGGGGATCTGGGAAAGTGAGCCCGGCCAGCAGCACATCCTTTGTGTGTGCGTGTGTGTGATTTCTTGATGTCCCCGCAGGCACCCTCTTTTCCCACTCCTGACGCTGCTGTTTGAGAAATGTGAACAGGCCACCCAGGGCTCTGAGTGCATCACCTCCGCCGGCTTTGATGTGGACATCGAGAACTTTGTCCACCAACAGGAACAGGAGCACAAACCCTTCTTCAGCGATGACCCAGAACTGGACAATCTGGTAAAGACCCTCCACCCCACACCCTGGCTAGAGTCTTCCTACCTTCTGGTTCCCCTGAAATGCCCTAGAAATGTTCTTTTCATTGATTCATCCAACAAAAAGAATTGAGTGCCCACCACGGGCAAGGCTCCAAAGGCACATTCTAGTGCCTTATAAATTTGTAAACCAAGAGTTCCAGACACAGGCTTTGCTGCCCAAGTTCCTCTTGACCTTGCCCATCGTGGCACCAGCATCTGACTACCCACCACTCTGAAATACAGGCAAGTAGAAAGAAGGCAGTAGCAGCCAGGCTGTCTAAGCTGTTCTGAGGCCTGGACTTCCGGCACATTAACAAACCCGTCTGGACCTTCCCAGAGTAGAGCTGATGGCTCACACACCACCATATGGAGGTTGAGGGTCACCAGCATGTTTAAGCATATCAACTGGGGACACAGTCACACAGAGAACACCAGGAAAGATCTTATTCACTTAGGGAATGTAGCAGATCAGGCTCCCAAACAGTTTGGCATGCAAGTGATCACTACAGCATATAAAATGCACCCTCCCGTGCTGCACCAGGAAATTGTGACTCAGTAGATTACAAGTTTCCAATCGTCAGCTAAACTTGGTGACTCCTGGATTGGATGACATCTGAAATTCTGGGAATTCTGCTGCAGTAGAGCATTAGAGACACAGCTGTGTATGTCTATCATGCCACGTAATCCTCCTGAAATTATTAACATCAGTTCCTTATTTTTCTGTGCATGGATTGCACAGATTATGCACGGTGAATTTGGCAACTGCAAAACTCTTCCCTAACACACTGATTGATGATAGTGCTGACCTCTCGCTTCCAAAGTTAAGCTGGTTTTCAAAAGGAAAACAGAGTTAGAAAAGCAAATGTGACACTAAAAAGGAAAGAAGAAAAATTATGCGCGCACACACACATGCGCACACACAAAGTGCATCAGCAGAACAGATGTAAATACCTTAGTATTATTCCATGCTGTGAATTATCCACACTACTACTTCTCTCAAGAGTTGAATGTGGTACTTTATGAGGTACAGAAGCACTACGAAGAGAATCCACCCTGGCCCGGAAGTCCATGGAGTGCTGTGATGGGGCCATCATTTAGAGAGCAGGACTAAGTCTCTGCCAGAGAATGAGCACCTGCCCAATGTTAGAAGCATTGGTGGAGGCATTGAGAGCCACAAATCTGCCTCTGCTCATCTCTGACCTTTGCTTTTTCCTGGCAGGAATTAAGCAGTCCAACTTCCCATGAGGCTGGATTCCTGTCTCTGGGATGCCTGGGAAGCTTCCCTGTGCAAGTTCTCCAAGTTCTCCAGGTCAACTGCTAAGTGCAGGCTAGCCTGGCTCTGCCCTGGCCTTTGGCTAATCGAAGTGCAGTTAGAAGGCAGGTAGATCCTTAGAACTCAGACCCAGGCAGCCATGGAGCCAGGAAATGAGCCATTTCCTTAGAAATGAAAATGGACCTGGAGAGTAGGGGTAGGGCTCACTCTTCTCACTTAACATAAAGAGAAATTGAGGCCTAAAATAAGACTGAGTAATGTGTTGGAGTCCTGGGAAAGCAAACCTCACATCCCTTGTCTACCTCCACCTTCCCAGTGAGCTATGGAAGACCCACTGAAAATGGCCTCCTGTTATACTGCAGCCGGAAAAACCAAAAAGTTTCCCACTCCATGCTCTACCCTTAAATCCCTGCCCAGATCTCTCAGGGTTCTGTTCATTCAAAGAATCAGATTTCTTAATCCAATCCAAGGAAACTGGGTTGAGTGGACTGTTTTGTGCCACACCTGAGCTGGGGTTACGGATGTTGTAGGAACTGCCCTAGAGGCCTCAGGCCTCTATGGTCCCTGGTCCCCTATTTCAGTGACCAGACTGGGAGTGGCCCAGCTAGTGGATCAATCCTTAGTCCATCTGCTGTTATGTTAATCATAGTTGGTGTCTGGTTAATTATTGATTGGTTGATTGAATGATTGATTACAAAAATGGAGAGATTTTAAAGAGCACTTAGAGACAAAAGATCTGAGCCTCGCATTACCATGTACTCTCTGTGTGACTTTGAAGGCTGAGCTCCTTTGAAGCTCGGTTTCCTCATCTGTAGAGTTAATACACATATCTTATGTGATTGTAATAAAAACTGAATAAGATGGCTTGTGGAATTAGCCTTTAAAGGTGCCTGGCATTGGGAAGATTAATCTCAAATGCAATATCACTGCACCAGGCAAGGTGTTGCAGACTTATTTCCCAGCCACCAGGGACTGTGTGATCGAGACCCTGAAACTTCTTTGGGAGAGTGGAGCAGTGCCCTATGCTGCCCCCACTCTGGTCCTGTGTAGGGCAGAGAGATGAAGAGGCCAAGCATAGGGACCATCATTAGAACAAGAATCATGTCGCCAGCACAGCCGAGATGCACATAATTAGAAATTAGAAAAAGGTCAGATCGCGTTATTACCAGCTCAATCAGCTGCCGAGTGCCACAGCCAGTTAATTTGGCATCTGTATTTTTTACAACCCTGCACACGTAGCCCAACGGACTGTAACTCTTTATCCGGACAGATATACTGCGAAGCTGAGCAGGGATATAAAATGAGGGACCCCAAGCAAATGAGCTGAGATAATTGAGAGATTTATTTTTTATATATGTGTGTGTCAGGGTGGCTTTCCTTTGCCCTTGAATATTGACTTTCATAGATGGGATTGTCAGGAAGCCATTTGGGTCTCCAAAAACTTGGCCCCAAAGAAGTCGCTTCCTCCTTCTCCGCCTCCTCCTTCTCACCCTCCTCTACTCCCTGCTGTACATTCAAGCCCCACTCCAGCCCTGCCCAGCTTTCTTCAGCATTTGGACACCATCCTGTCCATAACAAATAGTCTCCCTCCTCTTCTCTGTGCACATAGCTTGTCACACTCTCCCGTGACCCTGCAGTCTCCTCTTGAGCTGCTTTTCCAGACAAACCCCCTTGGAAACTCCCGTAGCTGCCCCAAAGATCAAGATCAGAGAGGCCCGCTGCAGATTTCTGAGGGGCTCCCCTCCACTGTGAGCCTTGTCCCCTGCTCCACAGCAACCCTAGCACAGGGGAAAGGGAGTCCCAAGGCCCTAGGGAGAAGCAAGCCCACCCCCTTTCACAGTCCAGAGAAGTGACTTCTCAGGATAGGAAGGACCCAGGTCTCCTGACTCTGTGCTCCTTCTGCTGTGGTCCACAGCTCTTCTCCCTGGTGGCAACAGAGCCCTCACAGATAAGACAGTGCCACCAATGCCGTCTCTCCTCCTGGAACCATACTCCGACCCTCTCTTCCTATCACCATGCCATAGAGGCAGCTTTCCACAGTCATAGCAGCTAAGCTGAAACCCCAGCTAAGCTCCCTGGGGAGAGGGCAGACCAAATTCCCGCTCCCCCTATACTGCTCAGCAGGCTTATTTCTTACCTGACCCCCCCAGTCCCCTCCTTGGAACCCAGCAGCCTCTGACTGGCAGTTGGTAAAGTTTGTAAAATTTGCAAGTTTCCCAAACTCCTTTGAAAGGTAAAAGCTTTTTGTTTTATAAAATCTGATTTACGGGCCCCCGGTGCAGGGCCAAGGTTTTATATATTATGCAAGATTTCAAACTAAGGCTGTAAAACGTACGGTTTCAGTTTCATGCATGGAATTTTTTATGTGTAAATTTTTTAACATTTATGGGGCACGTTTTAATGAGACTCTGGTGTGGCTCGAGGGACAGATTACAGCTGCCTGACCGCAAAGCCAGCTCTAAAATGGGGCCCCCAGGCCCCTGGGCCCCGCTCTGAAGAGGCAAGGCCAAAGGCCGGAAGCTGTGAAGGAGGAGGAACCTGAAAGAGGCAGCCCAGGGTGCTGGGCCCACAGCGACCTCAGGCCAGCCTGGGCTCCCAAGTCACTCTCTCCAGCCTGCAATCCAGGCTCTCCGCCTAGACAGGAACAGAAAAATCTCACAGACACCAGGAAAGGAAAAGGAAATAAGAATAATCAACGTAGGTAATAATTAACATTTATAGAGCACTTACCAAGTGCCAAGTACCATTCTAAACACTTTACATCTATTATTCAACCTGCTTTCCAAACCCACAGGCATGGATTAATGTTATCCCCATTTTTCACCTGCCTAGCATACTTAAGGCCCTAAGTTTGATCCCCAGCGCTGAAAGAAAGAGAGGGAGGAAAGACAGAGACAGAGACTGGGATGGGAGAGGGACAGGGCGGGGAACGGAGAGGGAGAGGGAGAGGGAGATTCCCATTTTATAAGGTGAAATCACTAGCACAAGCTCTTGCAGCTAAAATGGGGCAGAGATGGGGATCAAGCTCCAATACAGCCATACTAAACTGTTTCACCACCCTATGGCTGACCTCTTCTTACATCTCCCCAGGAGCTGGGTCTTTAGTTCATTTTTAGCCAAATCTTCATTTAGTCTTCAGTAAAACTCTGGGGGAGTCCCTACCACCAGGTTCTCAGAATGGAACACAGTGACTTCCACACACATATGCAAGTGCTCCTCCACTGAGGTGGACCCCTGACAGATAGGAGCCGATATTACTATCCTGCTTACAGATGAGGAAACTGTTCAAGGTCTCAACGGCAGGGAATTCTCAGCCCCCAAAGTCCATTGTCCTCGAGTACCTGGTTTGCTGTTTGTCACAGTGCCCTATGAAATTCTTATTGTCCCCATTTATCAGGGAAAGATTAAGGCCAAGTACCCTACAGCCAATAAGTTACACAACTGAGACTTAAGCCGAGTGGGTCTAACTTGTGAAGCCCAGGTTCTGTCCTCTGTGCCCCGTCTGCTTCTCCAAATTCTGAAGCCACTGACGCAGAAGTGCTAGGTTCTTGACTCAAAGTGATTTAACTTCATGCGTGATAGTTTTCATAAAATGTTCATTCCGCCCCCGCAATCAGCTGGCAGCTGTGTAGTCCCTGGTATTTACCTTTCTTCTATGTCCCACCCCAGTAGTAGAGATCAAACCGATGGCCTCAGCACTGAGCTGCCTC